TTTCGAATGCGTTTTTTCCAACCCACTTTCAAAACTCGGCGCGGGATCGGCGCCCCCTTTTCATTTTTGCGCCCTGCAAGAATTGCCAGCTGGGGGGGCCGTGGCCCCCCGGCCCCCCCTGGCCACGCCCCCCCCCCCTGCCAGCACGCCACTGGGACCACCTTAGAGAGATGTTAAATGGGGCGAGTATGCCCCCAGAACTCCCTAGCAGGTTTTTGCCTTTGGCATTTGCATACATTGTCCCCCTCGGCTTTAGTTTCACTGGCTATGCCGCTGATACTACCCTTGATTTGTGGTGTTACTCTGAGTGTATATCAACACCGGGCGAGCTTACAATAGAACCACCATAGTACCATGGGTCCATAAACTCATTGTGCAACCATCTATGGACTACTATGTGAAACTAATTTTTGTCTGTAGAGATTTCATGGAATTTGTGAGTGGAAATTCTAGATTTGCAAACTGGAAACATTACCCCGCCCTACTGCCTCATTGGAATGAATACAAAACGTAACGTTTTATATATATTAAACGATTGCTCGAGCTCAAATATATTTTTGTAATTTTGGTCTTTTAACACAAAGAAATGGCATTTCTTCCACGTTGCACGTTGCTGCGAGCTATAAAACAAGTACATATACATCGATTTTTCGCCACAACGCAAAAAGCTTGCAAGGAAAAGAATTACCCAATTCACGCGAACACGCTAGGCAGATGGGCTGGAATTGCGAGCATGATGCGTCTGCCTGTTCATGAAGATGCAAAAGATTTAGATGCTTGCTTTGTTGGTATTCCTTTTGACAGTGGTACGAGCTATCGATCTGGTACAAGGTAGGCTAAGGATATATAGGTATTACCAGCGGCGGCGGAACAGATTTCGTTCTGGGGGGGCTAAATTTTTTCGGCGACCTCCCCCCCCCCCCCAACAAAATATTGCAAATTTGTCCCCTTATACCTAAATTTTCAAAAAATAACCTAAATTTTTCCCTAATTATCAAAATTTTTTCCAAAAATTCAAATTTTCTGCTTTTACTTCTGGGGGGGCTTTAGCCCCCCTGTTCCGCCGCCCCTGGGTATTACGTACTCGTTACTTGAGGATTTGAGGTATAAATATCTGCCCCCTGCACACGTCCCTGAGCCTGACTAGTAACGTCTAGTATACAGATAGCGCACAATTTTCGAAAGTTGGCCGGTTGAATGTGTAGTATTGCTTAATAAATTATGTTTAGATTATAATTATATTGTGCTAATAGAATTCATGAGAGGTAAAAACCTTTGGAAATCCACAGGAGGTGGGGGGGGAGATTTCATTGATGCATACACTTTCCACTGTATAAACAGGGTCATGACTCAATACCAGATGGTCCAAGGTAGTGGCAATAATAAGAATGCTTCAGATTGATAGGGATACAACTTCCTGAAAAATACAAGCCAAGGAGAACTTCAACGTTTCGAGCGAAGGCCCTTCCCTCTAATACAAACAGTTCTCTAATACAGACACCCCTCTGACATCCTCTGAGCACACTAAAAGTCCAATACCTAAACTATATTTTAGATTTGGTCCCAGGCAAATCCGTACCGAATCCGCAATGATAAGACATGTCAATGCTGTGACAGGTGCATCACCCTACGAGTCTATGATGGTTGCAGACATTGGTGATATGTCTGTTGTACCATTCAATGTGGAAAGGACATGCCGAATTATCAAGGAAGAAACAGCCAAGATTATTAAAGATGGATGTCGGCCATTATCTATGGGTGGTGACCATCTTGTTACGTATCCAGTATTACAAGCAATGAAGGTTTGCAATGTTAACCCTTTAAGTGGCAATGCACCCTGATGCACCCTACTCTATAATATTTTACTGTATGTTACTCATAAACCTCAGCATAATCTGTGACTGTACTTTCATCTATTTCCAGGAGAAATATGGTAAGATTGGAGTTGTCCATATCGACTCGCATGCAGACACAATAGAACATCAGCTGGATGAAAAGCTAGCACACGGCACACCATTTACTCGAGCAGTAGAGGAAGACTTGCTGGATTCAAAAAGAGTCGTTCAAATTGGTTTGCGAGGCTCACTTTACAGTCATGATGATTTTAATGTTGCTGACAGTCAGGTACTGAAGTAAAACGTGATGAAACATTTTGAGTAAATCCTCTACTCTAGGGAGAACAGTTTAGAATCTCTAACAGTTGGTGCCAGTGTAGATAGCAACAACAACAACAACAACAACAACAACAACAACAACAAGACAGCTGCAGATTAAGACAGATATGGCTACCTCAAAAATATCAGCAGAACGTCGATCTGACAAATGTTGAAGTTCTGCTTATATTTTTCAGGTAGTTGTTTCTCAGTCCACAGCTGTATAGAACTGATAGAGGCATCTATAGTATAAATAAAGTCGGTTGGGAAATCATTTTTGCTGAATAGGGTTTCCGTGTGGTGCGTGTAGAAGAATGCTGGCATAAATCACTCACACCTCTTATGGAAGAAGTGAGGGAACAGATGGGTGATGGTCCTGTGTACTTGACGTTCTGCATTGATGCCATTGACCCATCATTTGCACCAGGAACAGGTTAGAACAATTGATCTTGTCCTTATGCACACTAACCTGCAAAGCAGGTGTTGTGGGCAAGCTCAGCCACTCCTGCACATTTCAAATAAAATGTCTGCTTTGCAGTCTGAATGGACACCTTTTGAATGTAATACTATAGAACTGAGATTCACACTGTGTGTTACATAATAGGCAGCAAACTGTGATCATGCTGTTTGAATTACTCTACCCTCAAGATGTTGAAGTCTTGAAAGTGACATCATCACAGCAACCTCTATAAAATAGACACCTCTCTAATGCAGACCATATACAGACACTTTGTTCTGTCTTTTCCATGTCAGTATGGCTGAAACAATTAAACATTTTGTCATCTAGGTACACCAGAGGTAGGAGGACTGACAACTATTCAAGCTATAGAAATTGTTCGAGGATGCAAAGGACTGAATATTATTGGTGCTGATGTTGTCGAGGTATACTGTGTTTGTAATTGTGGTTCCCACTGATAAACCTATCCAGTATCAATAAAGTTAGTTTATATTTCTTCCCGTAGTAACATTGGTACAATACTGGATGGCCCTTACTGGACCTCTAGTAAAAATGAATTTACATTTGTTTTATTTGTGTGTTTATGTAGGTGTCACCACCATATGATCCGTTTGGAACAACTGCGCTGATCGGTGCCAATCTCTTATTTGAAATGCTATGCATATTGCCTGGTGTTCACTATGTCAAGTAAATGCCAAGTATGAATTGTCCATAGGGATTTATAGACATCGCTGTATACTAGGTAATGACAGTAATTAGCTAGTATAAATATACATATAAAAATAAAAGTAACTTTGTAACCTCTACTACTGAAAACAACAACTAGACGATTTGTAGCACATTGTATTTTGCAAGAAATTAAAAAGGATCAAAATATGATACATAAATTACAGTAGTTAACTTTGAACAGCTTCAATACTCACTAGACACTCAAATCATATGCCTGACTGAATATGAAAACAAAGCTATTCCAATGTCCTGTTGTCTTTTTTCAATATTCACTATTGTAACTAATGCTTGCTCTGTCTCAATCAGGCATATGTTTTGAAGAGTTTAACTGATAACTCGTATTTAAATTAAGTTAAAATATACCAGTGTGCTCTTTCAAAGTTTGTATATAAACTGCAATTATGCAGTCGCAATTGTTCATAGTGATAGGTTTCTGCTCGATATGACAGACACAATGTCATTTCTATCTCCGACGACCTGACCTGTAATTAGAAAATTTAAAAACCTTATATTTGGTGGCAAATAAATGATGGAAGGATATAGGTTATTTTTTTGCCCCCTAATAGTACAAACATTTTGACCACTTTCTGTTTTGTAAGTTGTAAAAGAAATATTCAATAGTTTATTAATAACTAGGATTAGTGCAAATTCAATTTAAAAGTTAAAAAATTTTACCAAACAACATACCTCGATTTTTTTGAGGACGCACGAACAAATGCCCAATCAACCGAGATCTTTTGTTCTAGCATCTCGGCGTCATTGAGTGCGTCCCTTGCTGCTTGCGCTTCTTTGAATGTTTCGTATTCCACTAGAGCGTATCCCTAAATGTATATGGATTGGTGTTATTCAAAATATTGCCTTGATTTATACCAGAAATGGATGATCAGTCTTTACAAACTTGGGAAAATAAAAGATAGTTTCAACTTTGACTGATAATTTGTATGTGTACCATCTTGATGAACAATCAATGTCTTTGTCATGCTCATAGTAATGGATTTACAGGAACCTTCAGGACACAATGGAACTTAATGGGTTAACTAGACACATTGGCAGACAGTCAGATTAACCCATTGAGCACCAGCCTTGATGAGGAAAATTGTCTGGGGTTAGACCGTATTGTACTATTGTGAAAAATAAAGTAATAGGGCACAATGCCAATTGATGGAAAATCAGGTCACATACAACAGTAAATGAAGAAACAGCACCTTCATAAATCCAGTACGTCTATCAAGATTGGCCTGAAGATTTTTAATCTCTCCGTGCTCGGCAAACAAGTCATAAATGTCGTCCTCTTGAGCTTCTTCGTGGACATTGGTTACAAACAAAATCCATCCTTCTACAGCTACAAAACAAAGCACAGTGTTACTGGATGGATCAAAACTTTTAACAGTCAGGGGTGGAAAAAATATTCTCCTTTACTTATGATACATACATCTCTGAGGTCCTATCTCACTGTTGTCGTCAGCTTCAACAGAATCATAAGGTTCATTTAATGAAGGGTTCTGATCATCTGAAAAGTACAATAATTATCTTCAAATATTATGTTACTGTAACTTGGAAAAATAATCATCTAATGAAAGTGATAACGAACCTTTGAAACCTCTTCCCTTCCTCTTTGTAACACCTTTCTTTAGGTTCTTCAGACCGTCTACAAATTTGAAAATTTGCCCATTTAGCTGTTTGAAACGCAACCTTATGTGCCGTTCATTATTATTTTCTACTATATGGGCATCATTACACAATTTATTAACCCAATGAGTGCACTTTGACGAGTAAAATCGTCTGGAGTTAGACAGTGGTGCATCGCACAACACCACTGTGTCGAACATCAGATTTTACCTGTCAAGGGGTTTTATGAGATATCAGGTCAAGGGGTTGTATGAGATATCAGGCAATCATCTAAACGATTTTTTTTTTTATTACTATTCTTCAGAGAAAACTTCAGTAATATTATTCATTACTATAAATCCTGTCCGGAATCTGGGCAACAAACTGTTCTTACATTTATGTACTTCACACAGGCATACACATGCACATACGTACGATCTGCACTAGGTCAATAGCTATCTTTAACACTGAACTAAAATTCCATCAATCTGCCTATCATACAACGTACCTTCACCTGTATCTTCAGTAAAATCAGCGCGATCGTCAACTTCGACTTCTAGAACGTCTGTTTCCGCCATCTTGAAATTTCAGAACGCGTGGAAAAAAAGAACTCGGACCCAGGTTACCGCGCCGGGCTGCGCTGACCTCTATATTAAAATTTACTGGAGTGAAATTTGGGAGATGACAACTAATGCCCTCTATATTTAACTGGAGTGAGATTTGGGATGATGGATGTTTTCGCAAATTGGGACGCCATTTTGAATCGAGATGCATTGTGGTGAAGCCCGCGTAAAGAATTCAAAGTGTCAATCATGTTTAATTAATTTAAAAACATTATTTTATAAAATGGAAAAGGTTTTTGAAAGAAGTTTTTAAAAAGAGATTTATAGGCTGACTCAATGGTCCAACCAGTAAAGATACAGAAGAAAGACCAATAGTAAAGACTCAAAAGGTATTATATACAATTTGAAACGTTTAAAATGAACTTTAAACTATATTTTCTGTGCCTCCTTGATCCGTTGGATGGAAACTTGTTTCTTGTGACTCGATAACAAAGTGCCCTCGTACTTAATTTTTTTTTTAATTATTCATTCATTTTTTCGAATTCGTTTTCTTTATGTTGTTTATATTCCTCATTCTTTTCGGAATACAAATGATTTACAATGGAATTATGGCGGGTATTTTAACTCTTTCTATACGTTTTACCGAGGTTTTCGTTGCCTGTGCTGCAGGTATTCATAAAAGCTTTCAAAACAAAACTACAATAGTCCTCCGTGCAAAACGATATTGGGTAAACTTCAATCAACAATTTCCAACTCTTTTTTGTTAAAACATGAACTTCTGATAACAAAAAAAGCAACTGGACACAATATTTTTATTGGTATCTCCAAAGTTCATGGCAAATAACAAACTAGTTCCAATTATTTATTTTGACTAAATGTAACTAACTCTATAATACAAGGTCTCACACGCAACTGAAGTTTTTAAACGTATAGTAGAATTGAAGTTTATTCTATTTACAGTGCATATACCATGCACAAAATTCGCTATTCAAACTAATCATGATTCCTATAATCTTTTGAAAATTATTATATTTAATTTTAAGAGGAGATTTTTTTGGTATGTTACGTAACACGCGCTCAAAACTAATGCGTATAATATACCACTTGAGGTTATGACTAAATTCAAAATTTTTACTTTTCGATACGTTTCTCAATCGGCAAACAAACTTAAAAAGTATGTTTAGTGTTTTATCTGTAAAATAATGCTAAAATGAAGAGATTTTAGATGATACGCCAAAGAGAAAATGATGTCTGAAGTTCAGTAAGTTTTGCTTATATGGCTGTAAATATGGCGTCAATTTTAAAGCAACATTGATAATTGTATTTTAATTGACAATTTTTAACTATTATTTTATGTTTCTCAACCGGAAGATGCATTTAAAATAGTAGCTAACTCAGGTATTAAGTATAAACTAGAGAATAAAGCTAAAACAAAGTAATTTTGAGAGAAACGCCAAAAAGATTTTAGGTTTTGAACACTTTTCATTGCGAATACGTGACATTGAAAAAAGTTGCCTCTTAATAGTTGACGAAGAAAAGACAAAGCAAATCGCTACCGTTTTATATGTGATAAAAAGCATGCTAATTTATATAAATTTAGCTTTGATTTTCTAAACAACGTTGATTTTTTCAAGTACTTCGCCAATGAGCCATTTTAATAAACTGACTCACAGTCCGTGCTTTGTCAGAGATAAGAGACTCGGCTATCGCCTCGTGTTGCTTAATATACGTGCTTTTTGCTGCGATTTTAGGTGCGATTTTCGGCTTCTAATGGATGTGAACAAGTGGATGGGTTATGATTATGAATGTTCAGATGGAGATACCACAGATATATTCAGAACATTTATAACTCGTCTAATCGTTCACATGCACCAGAAGACGAAAATCTCATCAGAAATCGAAGCAAAAATTGCAAGTGTTAACGGGCCTTTAAATAGTACTACTGCCTGGTCTACATATGGTCGTAACGGTTGTAAAGATTGAGCCACGATCTTTCTCATCAGCCGAAATACAGCAGTTTCGAACTGAAAATACGCGGAGGGATTCTGATAACTAGAGAATATACTTATGATTCACATGTGGTTTACAGGTATAAA